ATCTCCTAACTTCTCATGCAACCAGATTCTTAAAGAACCAATCAGCATTTTCCTTGTTCATCATGTTAAGTCACTTATCATTGTAACAAATATCACGTGCAACAATAGACAAAATAATTATAGTCATTTTAATTTACGAAATTACTGCACTTATTGCATCAATTGTCCTTGCCATGTGAGCCATGATAAAAAATTATTTTAAGGGTGCAACACACACGTATATATGTATATTGATAAGAACATCTAAATACAATTTTCATTTTGTTGATGCCAAAAATCTCCATGCTCTGGAGACCGTGACGATTCCTGCAAGACAAAAAAAGTGATGACCGGCGTGGTGCCGGCCGAGTGCACTCCGACGGTCAAGTTAGTATTTGACGATTTAATATCCGATAAGGATTACATATAAAATTTATGGCGTACCTTTTTAGGTTGACTAATCCTTTCTTTTATAGAAGCATTAATGGTAGTAGTTATTGAAGCGAGATTCTCCCTGATTCAAGATGATATCGTTCCCTTCTTACAAGAATGGTAACTCTGGTTACATATGGTAACCAGATATTTTTTATGATTTCATATAGATTTTGGGTAAGATAAATCCCTTACCCTTATCTTATTTCTCTTTTGAATTTGAGTTGCCTATTATTTTTATCCTTATCAGTTGCCCCTCATTCTCGTGCTTGCTTGTCAAGTATCGAGAATGTCAAAAGTGTTTTTTTGAGTGACGTCTCTTTGGCATAAATCAATCTCCTTTTAGGTTAACCCTTGTTCGGCGACCTTTTTTTGGTTGATCTCTTAAGATTTGCCCGAACTTCATGAGCTGAGAGAGTAGGCTTTCTTAAGCTGAATGAGCTTACCTTTTAAAAAAAAAAGGAAGTATATTTACAAGCTTTACTCAGCTCGCTCCTTAAAAAGGAAAATATATTTTACGAGCCCGCCCTTTAAAAAGAGAAGTATATTTTACAAGTTGATTTCAACCCCTTTTAATACGGAGGACAACAATTATGAGCTTCATTCAGCTCGGGTCCTTATAGTACAGGGCACTTTTATATCAATCTCTTATAATACGGGGATGGTAATTACGAACTTCATTCAACTCGCTCTTTAAAAAGAAAAATATATTTTACGAGCTTCACTCAGCTCACCCTTTAAAAAAGGAAGTATATTTTACAAGTTGATTTCGACCCCTTTTAATACGGAGGACAACAATTACGAGCTTCATTCAGCTCGGGCCCTTATAGTACAGCGCATTTTTATATCAATCCCTTATAATACGGGGAATGGCAATTATGAGCTTCATGAACTTATCCTTTTAATATCGGTGGTTCATCCTCGTGAGTAACTAATTTTCCAGAATTTCATGAGCTCGTGTCTATAATAAAAGAGGTTAACTTTCTGCCCCCATTCCCAAGCTTGCCTCTCACGCACAAGGAACATTAATGTTTTCTTTCTATTTGCAAAGTTAGCAAAGCAAAAATAAAAGGACAGATGTACAGTTTGAACGGATAATATATATACATATTTATATATATATTAGAATTGGTACAATTAAGGCAAAAACTTATCATTGAGCATCATAGGACCAAAATCATCAATGGAGCTAACTATTGTTCTCTAGAATAAGAAACTTTTTTTTTTTTTTTAAACCCTGTGAACAGTACCCGCGGTACTATTCCGCGGGTTCTCACAAAATATTTTTTGTTTATTATTATTATTTTTTTTTACACCCTGTGAACAGTACCCGCGGGTACTATTCATGTGAATAGTACTCACAGTTTTTTTTTTTTTTTTTTTTTTTTGTGAACAGTACTTGCAAAGCGTAGTATTGTATTGAAGGGTCCCTAGGTGAACTACATCATTATGTAGGTGAACAATATTTTACAGACAATCGGAAACACATAAAAAATTGTTTCTCTTTAAATCATGTGAGGAAGTATACACATATATTTTGATATACGCGTAATGCATGAAACTTACCCGGTTAACAGCGATGATGAAACAACTGCTAGCGGTCGGGCAGGGCTTTCCAGCAATTTTACCGGATTGAGCAACTTCTCTTTCTTTTAGAGAAAGCGAGATTGTAAAATGACTGAATTGCTTTTAAGTTTTGTCGTAGATTTCCCTTGTACGAACCATGATTTGTTGGGACTAATATACGTTCCCACAGACGGCGCCAACTGTTGATGCCAAAAATCTCCATGCTCTGGAGAGCGTGACGATTCCTGCAAGACAAAAAAAGTGATGACTCGCGTGGTGCCGGCCGAGTGCACTCCGACGATCAAGTTAGTATTTGACGATTTAATATCCGATAAGGATTACATATAAAATTTATGGCGTACCTTTTTAGGTTGACTGATCCTTTCTTTTATAGAAGCATTAATGGTAGTAGTTATTGAAGCGAGATTCTCCCTGATCCAAGATGATATCGTTCCCTTCTTACAAGAATGGTAACTCTGGTTACATATGGTAACCAGATATTTTTTATGATTTCATATAGATTTTAGGTAAGATAAATCCCTTACCCTTATCTTATTTCTCGTTTGACTTTGAGTTACCTATTATTTTTATCCTTATCACATTTCATTGCACATATTTTCATACCCCTCCCCAGTTAAGGTGGGGGTGATAGATCGAATACCTAAACAAAGTGTGTTTGTCACGTGATATTGATCAATTGTTTTTTTATAATTCGATCCATTCTTACGAAAATGGAAAATTTTTGATCCCATCGATCTGTGGGATAACGAATCGAATTCGCGAATTGAAATTTTTTTAAAATTGTCTAATATTATTTATTTTTTAACCATAACCCGGATAAAACTTCAATTTATCAGTAATAATTCATATATTTAAATTATTTGAATATATATATATATATATATATATCTCGTGGATTGGTTTGGATTTTAGCAGCCCAATCCGAGATCCGATCTGTGAGATACGGATTCAATATTTTTTGCTGTCACCGATCTGTGGGTGTAGTAAACCAATTCGATCTGCACAAATCAGATTAAATTTGCAAATTCACGAATTATTTGTCCACCCTACTCAAACTGTGCTTAAACGTAATGATGTTTTAAGCAGTGCCAAGCCCAATAGGCCTTAATTAACATCCTTAATTAACATCCTAGACTCCTAGTCTTGAACTTGTACACATGTTAATAAATCTACACAGACAAACAAGTATATCGAAACCATTGGGTGTGTGCATGTATATATGTAGTATTGGATAAGGTGGTGAAAAACTGTGAACGTCTATTTTTCACTTACATTAAAATAAATAAAAAAGTTGCTTTTGTTCCAATTGTGAATGGAACCACAAAGAACCAATTTTATTCGTGATAGTGAAAAAAGGTTAGACATCCATATGTGATGGGTTTGCCACATACACATTCGATAAGGTTCCTGAAACCGATGATAGCGATATCAAAAGCACATTATTGTTTCGAAAACCATATCCAGACTCACCTAACATGCGGATATCAACAATCCAATATGCTATCACTCGTGATTGTGAACAACACGTTACATAACTCTTTTCATTAAATTGCCTTCATTGGATTGAAGACACGTGGCTGCCATATCTTGGAAGAATTGTGAAGACTCACGTATCCCCCAACAAGATTTAATCTATTGGAGACATACTTTATAATACAATATGAAATACTAATCTATGTTGTCCTTTGTTTTTTATTTCAGTAAATTCATATAATATAATATGATAAAATTATGAAGCATGGATGTGAATATTGAATACCATACACACATGGGACGCAATTTGGAGTGAAGGTCCACCACCATACTTTACAACTTTTGGTAGAAACTTCGTACTGTGTTTTTCCACCAATTGCATCGATCCCATAGAACAACTCTACCGGTCAAAACACTTCTTTAATGTCTCTTGTGATCTAAATAGTGTAGTTTGAAAATGAAACTTGTGGTCATCCCAATACCTTAGTAAATAAATCCCTCCTAAGTGATCTTTGAATCTTACTTTTGTATTAGAAATTGTGTATCAAATTATTTTATTATTAAGTTTTCATTTTAGAATTGGATTATATTAGGTATTTTTTCGTTAAACATACTATATAAATACATTATTGTTGAGAGTTATGAGAAAAAGAGTGATATTGCATTATTACTTCATGAGGGAGTATGGTGATGGGTAGGGGCGAGTTACAAATTTGAGAGTTGTATTGCATTATTGCTTCACTCGTGGAGAATGTGTGAACTTTAGGGTAAGAAGTTGTGTCCAGCGTTAGAAAATTTCGTTGTTCCTATCAATAATATAAATGTTATGTGTGATTGCTTGTTGGATCTTGACGAGTGCTTCGTATCAACAATTGGTATCTTGACGTGTGCTTCTCTGTAACTATCAACAACTGGTATTATAGCCAATGATTTTTTAACCATTGACTATAATACATCGTGATAGGTAGTCAAGTGGGAGCCTTGGAGTCTGACTAATCAAATAACATACAATAGGGGGATCCACAAGATTGAACTTGTCGGGACTTGTCCAGACCAAAGCTGTGGGCTGGGCTAAGCCAGGAATGTACAATTGGGGAGGCCAAATTAGTAATGTAAAACTTAAATTTGAAAATAATATAAAATCATTGCAATTTTTTTTTTTTCGGCATTTTAATATATATTGTTAAAAACGTGTTTATAAATAATATGCAAAGGAAATTTAAAAGAAGAGTTGTCGAGTGAATCATTTTTTCCCCCTCTCTAATTCATAACAAATAATATTTATGTATGTGTGTGTTTATATATATGTAAATATAGTATGTTATTATAAGGATTACTATAATAATTAATAATTTTCTTTACTAAATTTAATTGGTTCCTTGAATTTGAAGGGGTTACAAGTAATTTCAAACCACCTTTAATAAATCATAAGGGAATCATAAATAGAAAATTTTAAAAAAAATTAGAGAGGCCAACTTTAATTTTTTTACAGAAAATCACCATTTGTAACTATAATTAAGCATAAATAGTGTTACAAAAATAATAATAATAATAAAATTTGGGGTTAGAGGAGCTTTAATTATTGCGCACAAAATCACCATAAATAATTTATTTAGTACCATAAAAAGAATAGTTTCACTTGCCTCCTCTGAGATTAGGCGTAATTACAGACAGTACTTTTTACATTTCAAAAATTACATTGATCTCCCTCCAAACTGTTCGGCATTTTATTCCGACCATTGACCATGTTAAATGACTAAAACACCCTTTAATATTTTATAAATATATATCACATAAATAATATTTTATTAATATAAATCACATATATTAATATGTGACATGACAGGAGATGGAAAAGGAAAGTAACATGACTCTGTCGCGGAGGCTGTGATAATTTCACCGAAGGCAATCAAAGGCTGCGATACCCAATCTAGGGTTAGATTGCCGTCTGAAGTCCATAATATAGGGATCTGAGGCTGATCAAGAGCAGGTGGCGGCGAAGGTGACGAAGGCTTGTCGGCATGAACATCGGAGGAGGAGGAAGAGGCGAAAGAGGCGGAGGAGAACAAATCGTCATCTGAAAGGGGCTTCAGAGGTGATGAAGATGAGTTGAGAAGAGCATTATCATCAGCAACTGCACAAGATATAGCAGCTATAATTGTGGAATTGGTGTTTGGAGAATCTGATTCATCGCAAATGATTTAGGGTTAGGATTCTTTGCTTTTCTGATTTATTCGTCGTTCTGAAACTCACCAATTTGATGAAGGAAACTGGCGCCGGAGCTGAAGCACGCATGAACTGAGGTTAAATCGAGAAAATTGAAACTCACTCACAAATTTTTTTTAATATAATCAAATTAAAAAACCATCCATTGCAGTCCAGAGCTAAATGAACTAATAATGCAAATTAAATTACTTACTGGTTGATAATGAAGCTCTCACTTGAGCTACTTTAATGAACTTCAATTTATCTTTTCCTTTTTACCTTTCCAACAAACCATGGACAACTCCACCAAAGAAACGGCTCTCCTCTATCAAAGTGCAAATCCAAACAGAAACAAACCATGTCAGGCTGAATTTCTTCTTCTTCTTCTCATGGCTTGGCTAATATTCTATAAATCTGCGGAAATGTATAGGGAGGCCAGTAACAGAAAAGATTAAACTGAACCCTAATAATAAAAACGCAGAAAAATGAGGGAAAATGTAAAAACTGAAGTCGTGATTTGAGGAAATAGAAAGCCACAACATGAAAAGCTAGTTCCCTGTAACAGATTAGGTAAATACTAGTAGTCACGAGAGAGAGAGAGTGGAAGCCGCCGTTGCTGGGGTAGGCGGTGGCGATCTCGGCAGTGATTGCCATTGCTATATATATATATATATATATATATATATACATGCACATATGTACATAGGCTATTTTAGTACAAAAGTAAAGGTTAAAGTAAGGACAAATATGATATTACAAGGATAAAAATGGCTGATATCATCAAAAATATCATTGATCGGTGTTGACTTTTGTTTGTTGGAGGGGGCTAAGTGTTATGAGGGAGCAAACGTAAAAAGTATTGTCTATAATTACGGCTACCCGTTGGAAAGATAAGTGAAATTATCCCTATAAAAAAATATATAAAAAATTTGAGGGCAATGGCCCCGAAATTTGAGCTAAGGTAGCTGTTGTTAGGAATGGTATCTCAAATAATATTTTAATTGGGTTTTCATTTTAGAATTGTATTGTACTGTATTATTTCTTGTTAGACAAGTTGGGTTCTATAGATAAATACCTAAGTTATTATTAAGATTTATGAGGAGAGAGATGCAGAGGTGAGTTACGAATTTGATATTGAGAACACTCAGTCTTGCAAAAAAAACTTTTAGATAAGGGTTTGTATATATGGTTCAATGCTGAAAAATTCTCTACTGTTATATCATCTTTACATCATAATTTTAATAGAGTGTAATCCAATTTTGAGTGAAACAGTAAATATATAGCTATTATTACATGCTCTCTAATCAAAACACACCATTTATCTTGATAATAAGAAATTGGATGTTTAGACTCCACTTGGGTGGACACTATTTCTATTGCTTTCTCATTCTGTTTGGCAAAGCAAATTTCGTTTTTGTCCAAAATCATTTAGCAAAACACTTCTTTAAAAGGAAAAAAAACTTAATTGTGCCAATTGTATATTAATGACATGACACATATAACGAAATACTAAAAATGCATAAAAATCTTTCGCCATATACCCTAAAAACTTATTTCATCGACAAAATTAGTTTGTGATATTATTTCAGTACCTCTTTTTTATTTTGAAGAAATTCCAAACATTTAATTAACAGGATATCATTTAATAAATATAAAGTATTGTTATAATTTCAATGATTGTTACAGGATATCATTTAATAAATATAAAGAATTGTTATAATTTCAATGATTGTTACGTCACTAGATACAAATAGATTTGAAAAAAAAAAATCAAAATCAAAAATAAATAAAAAATCAAAATCAAAATCCCTTAAATTTGTATTCTTAAATGGTGAGATGAGTTGTACATTTAGCATAAACACTATCCTCACCTACTTGTGTTTGATTGTTCAAATTCACCCACCTTGTGGCGAATAAAATATATATATATAAAAAGACGATATTTGCACTTCACTTTTCTCAAATTGTACTACATTTTTCATTTTCTTTTAAAAAAAATGACAAAAGAGTCCTTAAATTCATTAATGCACAATTCCTTAATTTATAATATCATAACTACGTTTTATACAACTTTATTTTTTTATTTTTTTTGTTTTTTTCCTTTCTTTTTGTTAGCATTGGTTTTCAAATTTAAACTAAGATAAATTTGGGAAATAGGAGAGATCGAAATAGAAAATTAGAAATATATAATTGAATTGTTGGTAAAAATAGCTTGACAACTTGTTTTTTAAAAAGTTCTTCTAATTGAAGAATAGAATTAAATAGCCTTACGAAATGAACAACTGGATTTCAATCACACACATAGCACACAGTAAATATTGGGCGCGAAGACATCTGTATGTATTAAAATCCAAACCTCCATTTCACCACTCTCATTCTCTCTCTCTCTACATAAATACACAATCTCTCTCCCTACATATATTTGTGTATATAGAGAGATATCATTGCTTCACCGTTCATGCCTATCTAATATGAACTGTCTCCTTGATTTGCTCAAGCGCATTTTCCTCCTGTCTCTATCCGTTCTACACACACATACACATATATAAGTTTGTGTTTCTCTGCGTTTATTTTTCACGAATCTTGTTGGATAATAAAGTTCTTTCTTCGCTTTCTCTCTCTCCCCCTCCGGGACTTTCTCTGTTCTTCCTTTGCAGAAATGGGGTTCTCGGAGCAATCGATCCTTGTCACTGGAGGGGCCGGATTTATCGGTACTCACACTGCTGTCCAGCTTCTCGATCAAGGGTTTAGGGTTACGATCATCGATAACCTCGACAATTCGGTCGCAGCAGCCGTTGACAGAGTAAGAGAGTTAGTCGGCCCCGTATTGTCCAAGAAGCTCGAATTCCATTTGGTACGAGATCTGTTTGTTTCATGAGAAAACCGAGGGATTATGTTTCTTCTTGGTCTTGATTTCGAAATCTGAAGCACTAGGGTTTTGGGTTTGGTGCTTAATTTGATGGATTTTCTTTTCTTTTCTTTCTGGTTGCAGGGTGATCTCAGAAATAAGGAGGATCTGGAGAAGTTATTCTCTAAGTCGAAGTAAGCTAATTCTTCATGGTCGTCCATTATTTTTTTGGATTGCGATGTTTGGAAAAAGACTGATTATGATTTTTCATGATCGTCATTTCTTTTCTGGAATGCGATGCTCAAGATTTTTTTTTTTTTTTTAATAGTCAAATACGAGTAATAGTACTTTTATGTTTGGTTTTAAGGGTTGTCCAACTTATCTCCAGATTGCTTGGAATGTCCCTGTGCTTTATATTTTGATTTATTGACATTAATTTTTTTTGCTAAAAAAAAAAAGAACAGAATGAGAAATTGTATATATTAATTGATCTTGTGACATTAGCATTTTTCGTAAATAACCATGGAAATTGAAACAGGTTTGATGCTGTGATTCATTTTGCTGGTCTTAAAGCTGTTGGTGAGAGTATGGCTCACCCTTTTCGCTATTTCGATAACAACTTGATTGGCTCAATCAATTTGTACCAGGTCATGGCCAAATATAATTGTAAGAAGGTATGTGTCTTTGTTTGTTCTAGTTTACTGCTCAATTTCTAATTTTGTAAGAAGAAATTCATCTGATGTAGAATAAAAATGGTGTGTTGTTAATTCTTCTTAAATCAATGACTACTTTTGCTACAAGGAATTTGATGCTTTCAGTTCTGTTCGAATGGGCAAATAATGTGATCAAGAAGCAGTACATTTTTTTCCCTCTAAGTGGGAGAGGCTAATAAAATCTACTTTCTGCCCTTTGGCTCTCTTTAATTGCAAGAGAGGTGTGACAAATATGCTTGCCTCTTACATCAACCAGACTAGTCTAAGCACACTCTTTCTTTTTTGAATTTTGACTTCATATTTCTTTACAAAAATATCTATATTGTTTTAGGCAATCCTATTCAGGAAATGATGGTTATTGTTCTGAATTGGGGCTCTCTTTTTTTGGGAATACTCTTGTGATAAATTTATATGGTACTTGATCCTTGAGCACCTTTATTGTCACTACGCCTTCATTTTTATTTTTTTGTGTCCTTTTTAAATCAAAATTATAAAAGTAATGCTATTTAAGCTAATAAACTAGGCAAGTAAACAACATGAAATGCAAATAACCAATAGATACATTCAAAAGGTCATATGATGTCATCTTATAAATTTTGTTAGCTATTTCACTTTAGTTAGTCGGCTTATTCTTTTTGTGTTGAGAAGTAGTTTTTCACTTTGTAATGAAGTTTAAATATGGAATGTGCTCACGAGTTTCTTCTCTTTTTCCTAAACCTTAATTGTCTCTTATGTTTTGTTTTTTATAAATTATCTTTTATCTATACACTTGTTAGCTTTAATTTTTCTCCTTTGAAAATTTAAAAGGGAAACGTCTAATTGTTTATAACCTCGAAGAGGAGCAGTAACTTGCAGCATGAAACGTTTTCATGCTTTGTCCACTACTGATATTAGGAATTTGATTGCATGTATATATAGTTGGTTTTCTCATCCTCTGCAACAGTTTATGGCCAACCTGATAAGATTCCATGTGTTGAGGATTTCCAACCAATGGCTATGAATCCGTATGGGCGGACCAAGGTATCTGCTATATTGCCCTCTTTTATTCTTCTTCTCTCTTTTTTAATTATCTTGAAATCAATCGATAGTAATTGCAAGTAGGATTTCAAGTTTAGATAATACCTTAGTGAGGGAATGCTGTTCTTTTAGTTCAGAACTGAGCTACTTCTTATGTCTAATGTATTTCTGTTATGTTAAACAGCTATTCCTCGAAGAAATAGCTCGTGATATTCAAAGGGCAGATTCAGAATGGAGAATGATTATGCTAAGATACTTTAACCCTGTTGGTGCTCATGAGAGTGGCAAGCTTGGTGAAAATCCAAAGGGCATCCCAAACAATCTTATGCCTTATATTCACCAAGTAGCTGTTGGTAGATTGCCTCATCTAAATGTATATGGTCATGATTATCCAACCCCTGATGGTAGTGCGGTATGTAGAGTTCATCAGTGTTATTCTTAATCTATCAGGTTATTTATTTGAAATAAAGAGGAAAGGGTAGGATGGAACAACAATTATTCTGGTTCCGAGAGAGATCCTTTCCTGTAGTTTCTATTCGCGAGACTGTTGCAGTTGACCATATATGTTCCACTTTTAGCTCATGTTGGAAACAATTCACTAAGAAATAACTTTTTGCGTTATCACGCAAAGACTAATAGTACCAAATAAATATCGTTAATTGATGCTAATCGATTTCTTGGTTAACAGATCCGAGACTACATTCATGTTATGGATTTGGCAGATGGACACATTGCTGCATTAAAGAAGCTTTTCATGACAGAAAATATAGGTAATTAACTTTCTTTTGTACAATTAGTCACATGTTAATGAACTCACAGTCTTCTTTTATAGAAAGATTTTGAACCCTTTAGTATAGAAGAGTTTATTGGGTAAGGTCAAATGTCAATATTACCATTTTAATGAATTTGAGTTTTCATGATATTCCCATGTAGCGTTTGATGTTTCAATGTGTCCTACGTCAGGTTGGGCTACCTACAACTTGGGTACTGGAAGTGGTACATCTGTGCTTGAAATGGTTGCTGCATTCGAGAAGGCATCTGGCAAGGTGACTCTCTCTCTCTCTCTCACACACACACACATGGACCAAAACGTATATGCTAGTGTGTGCATACGCAGACACACACATATGTTCAGGACGTGATAAAACTTCTGTGTGTTTCAGAAAATTCCAGTACAACTTTGTCCAAGAAGACCAGGAGATGCAACGGCTGTTTATGCTGCGACAGAGAAAGCTGAGAAAGAACTTGGATGGAAGTAAGTCCTTAATCGTCTCTGTTTTCTTACAATTGGTTAGTATTTGGTAGATAGAAATGTCTAGTGGTATGTGTTGATTGTGACACACTTGTAGTCGGTTACATATCTGACTGGTGTATGTCAAATCACACCCCGCGGTACGCAGATATGGACAACCTAATAATGCATATGTACACATTGTGGGTCGAATTATTCAAATCCTTTAAAATATTATAATAATGATGATGAGCATTATTTGGTCCCTGATAAATCATGTTTTCCATGTATTGTTCCTCTGTGAGTTTTTCACATATAACTTGATGTTTTTCTCAGGGCAAAATATGGTATTCAAGAAATGTGCAGAGATCAATGGAATTGGGCAAGCCAGAATCCAATGGGATATGAGTCACAGCCTTGAATAGCATTCTGTTGAGTAGTTTGGAGGAGATTTTGTTAATCCCACAAATTAGGTGGGGTCGTAAGATTTCACTGAAACTACATTAATTGTATCACGGAAATCATGTACCCCCTTTTGAGAATAATTCATTTTGAGGAGTTCTCTTTTCATATTTCTACTCAGTTACAACATAAAAATATCCTCTCTTTTTCACTTCTGGAAAACATGATTGTGATTTGGATAATGGTCTAGTGAAATGCCTTTGAAATGTACATGAGTGGTCGATCCTTGATGATGGATCTTCATTTTTTTTATTTTTTATTTTTCTTTCCTGTTTTTATTTTGAAGGAAATGATTTGGACAAGCTCTTAATCAGTTATTTTGATTAACTGGTGAGAGAAAAACCAAGGACTCTCTCTCACACAGCTTCTCGATTTTATATGGCTAGAGTGTGCAAGCTCACTGAGAATGTCCTCACGAGAGACTTCCTCTTGCAGGTAATATGGACGAGCTCTTTCTTTTGAGTGTTGTTTATAATGATGTTATTACCTATCAGCAAGTATGTTTTGTTCTTTATTATTATTATTATTATTATTATTCTTACCATTATTATTATTATTATTATTATTATTACCATTATTATTATTATTATTTATCTTTATCGAAAGTGTGTTCTATTCGATATGAGTTCTGAGGTAACAATGACACTTGCATTTGTTAGGAAAAATTGAGAGCCGTAGGGAAAAAAGTGAAGCAAAACACTGGTACTTTTATATATATTTTTTTGCAATTTTCCTAGTTCAACATTTGTGTTTGAAAAAAAGTTGAAATCGAAAACATTGTAGGAAAACACTGTAGTCGTTAATTTTTTTTTTTTTTCTTTTTTTTTTTTTAAACTAGGGATTTTGTTTATCAATCTTGCACATTTTTTTTTTTTTTTATCAAATATATGTTTATGTACTTTTAAAAATCTGACAATAAATTTTAGGTTATCAAATATGTCGATCACTTGAAAGAATAACTATTTTACAAATATCAAGAATTTTCCTGGCATGATTTTTTATCAACTTTTCAATCAACCCCATGGGCACCGTCAATTCTGATGTTTATGGATCATCATGCTTTCAATGTGCACCCTACACATCAAAAAAGGTGTTTCTTTTTCAAATAAAAACAGAAACAGTTGTCAAAAGAGCAAGTCCTAAAAGAGAATTTTGTTACTTGAACATTTTTATTTTTTACACATTAATAGACTAATACAAAGTACAAATTATAAATTAGAAATGTGTTAGTAAACTTCATTTGAAAACAAGGATCAATGAAAGAAAGATGGGAACAATGTCTTGATTTTTGGCTGTGCTGCACTCACCCTACAACCAACACCATTGCCAATCTAAAATACTATGTAATTGGTAGAGAAAGAAGAAAAGATGGAAAATAAAGATTTTGAAAAGATTGAAAATAAAGATTTTAAATAGTAGTAGATTTATTTTTGATCAGAGGATCTATCTTTTGCATCCCAACACCTTCAATTGATAGAGTTGGATCTATCGTAGATCTATTTTTGGTCAGAGTTAGATTGATGCAGTTGTGTCACGTATGAGTTTATGTTGGTTTGTATATTATTTTACATAAAAGTTGAGTGTTTGATTAATGTAAATAAACTAGGATTAAAATTGGATTTGGGTTTAAGGGATTCTAAAAATTTTAAATAGGGAAAGAAAAAAAAAAAAATTGGATTTGAATTTATCCCGTTTTACATATTGAATAAAAGTTGAGTGTTTAATTGATGTAAATAGATTAGGATCTCGAGATTTGCAAAGGAGGAGAGAGAGTCGAGTTTGGATTTAAGGGATTCTAAAAATTTTAAACAGTGAAAGATAAAAAAATTAGATTTGAGTTTGACCCGTTATAAATTGGACAATAATTATTATTAAAAATTTAAATATGTGTATTAATTATATTGGACCACTTCAACTTCAACTAAAAGGATAAAATTCATCCACACATGCACCAAGTATAATCCTTCTCATAATTAATTATTACATAAATTACCGCCCACGAGCGAAAAACAAAAAGGAGTGGAGAAGATCCGTGTCCTACTTTATTTCTACTTTATTAGAAAATATTATTCTAAATGACTGGATTAAATAGTCAACCCCATTTTGTTAGAACTATACATTAAAATATGACGATAAAAATGGTGATATAAGTTTTAAAAAAAAGGTATTCTACTGTCCTCTGTAAAATATTCCTTAGAATGTTAATGAAGCATTTTTTAGATATGGTGGGAAGATAAAAGAAGCCAAAAAAAATCCAGAATAAATTTCTTTTTTGGGAATCAACTTGTTGAGAGTATTTTTTATATTGTATTAGTAATGAATGAATTATCAAATTTATTCATAGTTGATATTTTATAAATTCAATGTAAAAATGTTAAATTAATAATATTAAAATAAAAAAGAAAAAAAAAAGTCCAAAAAAAAATTAAACATTTATTTTGAGATGAAAAGAGTGGACAAAATATATATATATATATATATATATATATATATATATATATATATATATATATAAGATCTAATCATAATAACATATTTTTGAAGAAAGAATATATAAAAAATATGATCATAATAATATATTTATGAAGAAAGAATATATAAAAAATAGGGCTAATTTCAAAAAAAATCCCACTATTTTTTAACTTTTTCAAAAAATTCCTTACATTTTAAAAATTGATCACATTATTTCAATATCCGTATCCGACCCATTAACGGGTTGTAAAATATCAAATTTGACTTTGCTATTTAATATTAAATTAAGGGCAAATTTCGTAAAACCCCCAATACTTTCATTTTTTTATCATAAAACCCAAACTTATTTCTAAAAACCCTTATACTTTTAAAAAGTGTTCACATTGCCCCAATATCCGTATCCGACCCGTTAATTAGGCTGTGAAATTACAAATTTGACCTTACCATTTAATATTAAATTAAAAACTGAAAATTATTTTTTAAAATTACTAAAATACCCTTCAAGTCTTCTTCTTCTTCACCCCCTTCTCTTTCTCTAAAATATGACCTTACTTGTGGCGGATCTAAAACCAAACAGCGGCGCTCCTGCTCCCCATCTTCCCCTGGTCCAACGATTTGGTTCTAGACCGGAATTACGACAAAACCCGAACCAAAAGTTGAAGATCTTGCAGGCATTGGCTTCTTCACAGATGCCCAATTATCAACTTCGTCAGCCCTAGACATGCCTCTTACCTCAACACCACCACCACTAAGCTACCTGTACTGATTAGAGCGGCCGGAATCGAAAGACGGTAAAGATTTCTTCCCCGATGCCCAATTATCGACCTCATCAACTCTCGAGGGTTGATCAAAATCTGAAACCTTAGAAGGCGGACCCCTACGATCATCATCGAATCCACCACTGTAAGATCTCCGATTACTTCCCCAAGTATTATCACCATCTTCGTCTCGATCCCGCATACGACCTGGTCCTCCACTGGATCGGCCGTAAGAAGAGAAACCCCCGCCAAGCCGGCCGGATTGCATTACCTCCGCAAACCGCTCCTTTGGCCCGATCGGAAGCCTGAGCATCTCGTCTGGCGTCAAACCTTTGTAATCAAACGCCGATTCTTGGCGCTGCATCGTAAGCTCCTGCAAGCTCATTTTCTTCTTCTTCAGCTTGGTGCTCACCGCATCCCTCAGACTCGGAAAGCTCTTCGAATCCCCACCACCAGCCACCGCAGAAACAGCCGCCGCCGCCTTCTTCTCCGCTTGCTCCCTATTTAAGGGTTTTTTTTGTAATCTAATAAAAATATTTTTATTTTTTAATTTAATATTAAATGGTAAGGTCAAATTTGTCATTTCACAGGCCAATTAACGGGTCAGATATGGATATTAGGGCAATGTGAACACTTTTTAAAAGTATAGGGGTTTTTAGAAACAGGTTGGGGTTTTATGATCAAAAAATGAGAGTATCGGGGGTTTTACGAAATTTGCCCTTAAATTAAAAAACATAATAATTATTTGTGAAATTACATAAATACCCCTGTCTTCCTTCTCCTCTTCAACCCCTCCCTCTGTGGCTCATCTTCTACTTGATTAGAGCCAGCACGAAGGGCAATTTCACGACGGCCTCGCCTTTGAACAATGAATTAAGCAAAATTCAAAAACAAGGAAGTGGCCTAAGGCAACCACAACACCTAAATTGAACTAGAAGACGAAGATTGTGACGAGGTGAGAGGTTGGGAACATCGGCGACGCTTGCCCTCATTTCATGCTTCCATTGCTTCTGAGTCTCCGGCTGAGGGTGTTGGAGAGACGAAGCGGCAAGGTGCAAGGTGGAAGATGAAGCGGCAAGGTGCAAGGTGGAAGATGAAGCGATAAGGTCACGATTCCCAATTGTAAAACCCTTGCACCAATCGCACCCAAACATAACCCATCTATAAAACTTAACCATTAACCTTTCCACCAAAATCACGACATTGACACGGTCTCATCGTCATAGTCTGTGCCGATCCGTTTCTCATCGTCAGTTCAATTCCCGCGCTCGCCTGTAAGTTCCGTGTCTTGTCCGTTCAGTCCTGCCTTACCTATTCATTCCGCAGCTATAGTTCAGACCTCCATCATGACGTCTGTCGCTGCAACTTCGACGGCTCATCGGTGGCAATTTAGGTGGCGAGGGTGTAAATCGTCGCCCAAATCTTTACATTTACATACCGATTCGGTCAGTTTTGCCAACAACTTCGCTTCGGGGCCAATGGTGGGGTTCGATTCACCTTGGAGAAGGCCGTGAGCGATCAATTTCTGAACACAATCAAGACCAGGTTCAGCGATCTTGACATTTCCGGAACCATGGGTGTTGATGACGGGACATAGAATGAGTTTGAAGTCGGCAAGGGAGAATTAAGTGGCACCGCCGTCGTGGAGGACGCAGGGGAGGGATGAGGTGTAGGCTCTGATTTCCGTTCTTGATGATCTTTTCTAAGGTTGGGATTAAGAGCTGACTGAAGGTACTTGTGGTGGAATATTCCGGTGGCCTAAGAAGAAATATGCCTTTAAAAATGGTATTGATTTGCTGATGTTTGGATGGTGGTTAGTGTGGTTGTGGTTTTGGTTTAGATAGAGAAAGGGGTAAAAGTTTTCAGAGGGAGGGATTGAAGAGGAGGAAGAAAACGGGGTATTTCTGTAATTTTACAAATAATTATTATAGTTTTTTTAAATTTAATATTAAATAGCAATGTCAAATTCGATATTTTACAGCCTTATTAATGAGTCGGACTCGAATATTGGGGTAATGTAATCACTTTTTAAAGTGTAAGGAATTTTTTGAAATAAGTTGGGGGTTTATGAAAAAAAAAAAATTGAAAGTAGTGAGTGTTTTTTGAAATTAGCCCTAAAAAAAATTATCATAATTACTAAAAAGGTCGCGATCGAAAACACTTTGATGATATGCATATAGAGTATATAAACCTCATCCACATTCTAAAAACTCCTTAACAATCAATTTTGGTGCAACCAAGATCTAAATGCTAAAAAGTCAAAGTATTGTTCTATAACTGAATAAAAATAGATAAAAATAAATAAATTAAATGTGACAAGTGTATATATGGAAGAAACAATAATATTTTTTAGAGTAAAGTGCAAAAAAAACCCCTGAACTATAATTTGTGCATAAAACCCTCCAAACTATCTCATTTTGTTGCAACATACCTAAGGACTATACTATATTCCATTAAATGACCATAAAACCCCTTCTTATTGAATTACATTTAATATATTTTTCTTATCTAAATAAATTATGAAAAAATCCATACTAATTTGATGAGATCTTTTTCATTAAATTTGCATAAATTTACCTTTAATTTTTTTAATGAATAATTTAAATAAAAAATTTTAGTAGAAATTTTTTTAAAAAATTAATTAAATTTTTAATTTTTAATGAATGTATTATATGAAAATATCGTATTTTTTTCAAAACTATTTTATTAATTTTTCATCAATATATTGTATGAAAAATGATATTTTTTTACAATAAAAATGTTTAAATTGGTTATAATACGTTTTATTATAAATAATAAAGTTTTAATAATAAGTTAATCAATTTAGAAAATGGTAGTTACAAATCTATTTATCTTTTTTTTTTCATTTTTATGATAAATTTATACTAAAAATAAAATTAAGGTAAATAGCATAATTAATATTTACATTAGAGAAAAAATAATAAAAATAATTTAATAAAAAATGAAAATTTTAATGAGAAAGGTTTAAATAGTCTTTTATGGTGAATTTATCCTTAATTGTAACAAATTAATAATTCAATGGACGATTTTTAGTTCAAGAATTATTTGAAAAAGGGCAATAGTTTAGAATTTTTTTTCTACTTAATTCTATTTCTTAAAATTTTATATCTTAAAAATTGACTAAATTTTTAACAAAACAATCACCTCAAGTCTTTTCACATTTTTTCAAATTTAACGTATTTATATACTAATAGCGGGTATTATTTGCCAAAAATATAAACATTATTTGTGTTTTACCCTTACTAAAATTCAAATTATACTTTTACAAATTCAATTTACATAACTTCGTTATCTTCAACGTGTCAGAGATTGGGGTTCCAATATAATACCGACACGTATAAGAAACATCCTGGTTAAACTAAAACCAAACGAGAGAGAGATCAGAGAAGCTTCTCGAAAAGAACTAGGGGTGGTACCTTCTCGTTCCTTCCTATCCTTGTTGTGGACCCCACTCCCAACCCTTTCTTCCTACCTTTTCGACCTTTTTTTTTCTTTTTTCTTTTTTTATTATTTTCCGTATATTGCCCACGAATTACCCTTTTTCATCATTTGCTCCACCCAGAAACTTCTAGAAAGAACACCAAACTCCCTCCCACCGCCCACCTCTCTATCTCTCTAGTTTCTCTCTCTCTAGTTTCCGGCAAACGATGTCTTCTCCTTGTTCTGCAGTGTTGAGCTTCTTCAATCTCTCTCTGCTCTGCAATATCGTCGCTTTTTTGTAAGTTTTTTTTGGATTTGAAAAAATTCCGACATTTTTTCATCCAGAAAAAAACTTAGCTTTTCAGGTAATTAAGAAGATTCTTTTGTTTTATGTACAACTTTAAAGCATAGAAAATGAAAATGAAAATGAAAATGAAAATGAAATATTGTGTTTGATTTGATCTCTGAGAGAGAGGTGAATTTTCATCTTTTAGGGTTTGGATCTAAGAACGGTGGTATGGCACCGTTGCCGGTTGAACAGACCGGCGAATCGGCTGCCCCGGCGGCGGCGTTTGATTCTCAGAGATCAATCCCGACGCCGTTCCTCACCAAAACCTATCAACTCGTCGAGGATTCGTCCATCGACGACTTGATCTCTTGGAACGAAGATGGAACCACCTTCATCGTCTGGCGACCAGCTGAATTCGCCAGAGATCTGCTTCCCAAATATTTCAAACACAACAATTTCTCAAGCTTCGTTCGACAGCTAAACACTTACGTACGAACCTACACTTACACAGTAATTCATACAAGTTTGATATGTATACTGTTTTTGATTAATTTGTTGGTTTTATTTTGGCTTTGAATTTTTAGGGATTCAAAAAGGTCGTGCCTGATCGCTGGGAATTTGCGAATGAATGCTTCCGGAGGGGTGAGAAGTTACTTCTCAAAGACATACAACGCCGGAAAATTTCTCTTGCCCCGGCAGCGTTGACGGCGGCGCAGACTGTGACGGTAGCGGTACCTTCGACAGTTCTCGCGGCGTCTCCGGCAAATTCCGGTGACGAGCAAGTTCTATCGTCCAACTCATCACCGGCGGCGACGGTGACTCCTATCGTACATCGCGGTACAACCACCACCACCACCGCGCCGGAGCTTGTAGAAGAGAACGAACGGCTCAAGAGGGAGAACACGCAATTGAGTCAAGAAGTGAATCGATTGCGGAGCCTGTGCAATAACATATGTGCATTGATGACGAACTACGCCACCGATCATCCGGAAACCGGCGGATCACTGGACGAAAGAGCTTTGGATCTCCTGCCGGCGAGACAGTTAGCCGACGGCGGAGGAGGCGGCGGTTTAAAGGCGGAAGAAGGGACGTGTCCGCGGCTGTTTGGAGTATCCATCGGACTGAAGCGCGTGAGAGAGTGTGTGGATGAAGAGAGCGAGAATCAAGGCCAGAATAATCAGCGCGAAGAGGAGATGAAATCAGAGCCGTTGGATGGGGGACCTGATCATCATCAAGACCCTCCGTGGCTTGACAAGTTATAACCGTTTGATTGATTAGAGTTGAATTAGAGAAGGTTAGAATTGTTGATTTCACAGTGTTGGGAGGTAATTAGGCGGACATTATGTAAAGCAGCAAGTTACGAGGTAGGGTGACGAAATGATAAGGACACGTGTCTTCAAAAGCGGTGGACCATTTAATGAAAACCACCTCAGATTAATTTAGTACTTTTGTAGTTTGTATTGTGCATCTTGTCTACACGCAATTCGAGCAAAAATAATTTGACTTATCGAATTAAAAAAATTGAGTATTATTATTTTTTATTCGTGTCTATCATATATTCATTACTGTGGGTTCTAGACTTCTAGTTAAACTCGTCAGCTATCCAATAATTTTTGGTAAAGAGAGACGTGCGTGAGAAGTGATTAGCCAACCTTTTATTTTTAATTTTTTCAATTAAGATATTTTGACATGATTTTTTGTTTAAATCATAGAAATTATTAATATGACTAATATGAAAATGTGATTAATGCATTATTTTCTGAACTCATAACAGTAAAATAGGAACTTTACAAATAAAAAAAATTGGATCATAACATAAAAAAATGACTTTTAATTTCTAAGACGTATAAATACTTTTATCACTTTTTATTATTTCTCAAGTACTTCATAATCAATAAAATAGGAACTTCACAAATAAAATATCAAAATATATTTGTTAAAAATGTATAGTAACCTGTATTAAATTATTCATGTAATATAACTTGTATTTGTTATAAATTTTTAAAAGGCAGATATCTCGATAGCTGAGAGTGTCATGCTTCGACTTTCTACACCTACTAATCTAACTTCTAACTCTTCTTACGTTGTAAAATAAATAAATTTTTAAAAGAAAATGCCATTATAACAAACTTAGTTCAAAATTTATCACATACACATTGCCAGTATGATATGATTTAAGTGTAAAAAATTGTCATTAAAAAAAAAAAAAAAAAAAGGGAAAAATCTTGCCTTAGACAGCATTGCCTCTCCTTCTGATGTTGATATGGATCAACAACTTAAATTGTGTCCAAAAAAATTTTAAAAATTAAACTTGAATCATGCAAATCTTTTCAGAAGTCGTTTGAGATTTTCTCCCACACATGTGAGACCTTATAGAGCTCACTCTCGGTCACGATTCCTTTTCTCTTCACACTAAATCGTCATTGATGCCCACCATCTCTCTAATTCTGAAACCCTAATATTCATAATTTGTTCCGCCGGCCACCTCCACCACCTCCAATGCTTGCTAATCTCCTCCACTCTTAAACGTACCTATTACTTTAATTGCAAACTTTATTCAAGACGCCGCATTCATTGCCTGCCATATTTGTTACAATTCCATCTCTAAAATGACACAAGACCACAACTATTCATCTAAAGGAGAATTGACTTCTTTAAAATTTCTATAAAATCAATTGGGGGTTGATTTACCATTTTTTTTTTTATTTAGACTATTTGTTTAGTTTATTATGTAACGGATTGGAATATGAAGGTTTTTCTTTCTATTTTAATAGCTGGGTGTTCTAATGCTTTGGTATATAAATTTCTCTGGAAGGAAATTCGTTTGTGGGTTAAAAAAAAAAAAAAAAAAGAAACGGAGAAAAAAAATCTAGAATTAATCATGGATGACCAGTGAAAAGATTAGCATGATTTAAGTTTAATTTTTTTTAACACATGTTATATTATTGTTGGTTCATATCAATATTAATATCAAAAGGAGAGGCTTACTGATACAGCCTGAGGTAAACTTTTTCACAAAAAAAAATAATAATAATAAAATAATAACAGAAGAATCATATTAAAAAATCACGTACTTCGTGAATAAATTATCATTATTTCACTTTAAAATATTGCATTCAACGTATGTGTTGGCTAGTATCCACGTCCACCAAGTCGTCCTGCTAAACGTTGGAAATGAGAAATTTTTGCATTGGGAATTAAATGTAACGGACTAAATGCAATACGTAATTTCTCATTGGGACTGTGAAATTCTTCCACTCTTCGCTCTATAAGTTACACACCATCACTGCGTTAGTTTACAAGAGCCATCTCTCTCACATACACCCTCCATTAACCATGGAATCGCCGTCACGTCCTCTCGAGATTTTCTTCCTCCCTTTCCTATCACCAGGAACGGTAAATCTGTCACCATCATCACCAGGAACGGAGTCAATGAAGGTCTAAGGGGGACAATCTATAATATATGTGGTAATTTTTTAAAAAAATTCCATGACAAAATTTATAGGGAAAATTATATTTTGGTGATCAAAATTAAACATAATAGCTATATAGTGACCTTAAAGTCAACAAAAGGTGATTAGTGATCAATTTTGAAACTTAATTGATATTAAGTGACCATTTAAGGATAATTTGGTCAAAAACACTTAAAAGTTTAATAAACATTTTAAAAATAAATTTTAGATGACAAAATTACCGTCCAATATAAATAATAAGTCTAGTCTCTCTCTCTAATCCAACGTTTTCTTTTTTTTCTTTTTAGTTTATAATTTACCAATTTAAAAAATTAAGATTTGTTTACCAACATTATCTTTTTTTCACCCTTTATCTATTTTTCAAGGCTCTCAACCATATAATATTTTCCTTTTTAGTTTACAATTTACCAATTTAAAAAATTAAAAAATTTCTTTATCAACATTATCTCTTTTCCATCCTTTATTTATTTTTCAAGGCTCTCCAACATGAACGCTCATAATATTTACAGTGGCAAATCATACTTTTGAAACACCCTTTAACAGTTAGTAAAATTATGAAATTAATCAACAATAGTCATTATTTCTTGAACTATAACTAAGTAGTATTAAAAATTCCTAAAAATAACAATCTTATATCTTAAGGAAGATCTCTCAGACAAATCAACTCGTAAAGTATAATAATTATACCTTGAAAATAATGAATAAGAAGAAAATTTACAATTTTCTCGTAATGTCTCCTAGAATCTTGAAGAAAATGATGTATAATATCCATCATCAGTTCTCTCCCATCTTGATCTTCTCTTCAGAGACTCACCCTAATAATCTGTTATCTTTTTGTTAGTCAATTTAAATAAGTGTTTATTTAGGTTAATGTAGAGGGTAAATTTGTCTACTTACATAATAATATATTATAAGAAGACTATTTAAGTAATAAACCATCAAATGGTCACTTAATATCAATTAAGTTTCAAAATTGATCACTATTCACTTTTTCTTGACTTTAAGGTCACTATATAGTAATTATGTTTAATTTTGGTCACCAAAATATAATTTTTCCAAATTTATATAGTGTCCCCCTCAAATTCGTAATTCTTAAAATTATATTCTTATTTTTTCTTTATTTTCTTTTTTACCCTTCACATACCTTAAATTTTCTCAATAAAAAAAGTCAAATTTTTCTCCTCTATTGAAACTTTAACTATTTCCTATTAAAGTTTTTCATTTTTATTTTTTTTTTATATTTTAATAATTTTTTTCTTTTTTATCTTTTTAAATTATATATATATATATATATATATATATATATATATATATATATATATATATATATATATACTCCGTATTATTATTATTATTATTTTTTTTTAGCAGTGTGCCCCCTTACTTGAAATACTGGCTCCGCCACTGATCATCACCACCCCATCCAACGCCTCCATCATCGAGAAATTCATCCACAGAGACGCCGCCTCGGGCCACCGCATTGCCCTCCATATCGTCCCCTTCCCTTCCCAACAATTCGGCCTCCCCAACGGCCTCGAGAACTTCTTCTCCGTCACCGACACCGACACCGCCGGCAAGCTCTACCACGCCATGACGCTTCTCAAGCAAAGCATCGAACACTTCATGGACACTCGCCGACCCGACTGCATTGTCTCTGACATGTTCTACCCGTGGACCGCAGACACTGCCGAGCGCCTCCGCATCCCACGGCTGTCTTCCAGGGCGTCTGCATGTTCGCGCAGTCCCTGAAAGACGCCGTGAGACGCCCCGATTCGCCCCACCTGAAAGCTACATCCGATCACGACCCGTTTGTGCTTCCGGGTCTTCCTGACCGGATCACCATGACCAGGTCTCAGCTTCCCGACTACGTTCGGACTCCAACCGGGTACACCCAGTTGATGGAACAGTGGAGAGAAGCTGAGTTGAAGAGCTATGGAGTGTTGGTCAACAATTTCTACGAGTTTGACTCAGCTTACACCGAGCACTACAAGAAAGCCATGGGTAATAACAAGATATTTCACATCGGTCCGGCGTCCTTGATTCACCGGAGCACCGGCGAGAAGGTTGAAAGGGGCCACAAGACGGTGGTGGGTGAGCACGAGTGCCTGAGTTGGCTCAACTCTAAGAAACCCGACTCCGTTCTCTACGTTTGTTTTGGCAGTGGGTGTAGATTCCCTGATGAGCAGCTCATGGAGATAGCGTGTGGACGCGAGGCTTCCAGGCACGATTTCATCTGGGTCGTCCTGGAAAAGATGATGATGAGGATGAACAAGAGAGAGAGAAGTGGTTACCGAAAGGGTTGGATGAGAAGATCAACGGTAGAGGTTTGATTGTTAAAGGTTGGGCCCCACAGGCATTGATCTTGGACCATCCATCAATAGGTGGGTTTTTGACTCACTGTGGTTGGAACTCTGTGATTGAAGGTGTGAGTGCAGGTGTTCCAATGGTGACGTGGCCATTGTATGCTGAGCATTTCTATAATGAGAAGTTAGTGACGCAGGTGTTGGGAATTGGGGTGGAGGTTGGGGTAGAGGATTGGAACTTGTGGGTTGAGGCTGGGAAGAAGGTGATCAAGAGAGAGAGTGTAGAGAAGTCTGTGAGGAAGTTGATGGACGGTGGTGATGAAGCAATGATAATGAGGAGAATGGGCAGAGAACTTGGGGAGAAGGCCAAGAGGGCTGTTGAAGAAGGTGGGTCATCGCATAGGGATCTGACGGTGTTGATTGGAAAGCTTAAGCAACTAAGAGATGACAAGGCTGGTTGAGTGTTTACCATGTACCTAATCTGTATTACATATACAATAAATAAAAAAATAACTGTTAAATAGACTATGTTGTAATGGAGTTATTACAAAAGCCATGTAATGACAAAGGAGTATGAAAATGGCAGCGGAAAAAATTCATGTAGCATCTTGGATGCATCACGAAACCTGCTTGTTTTCTCCTTGTGTGTTTTTAATCAAACAATAGAGCAAAGCTTGTAGTAGAAACACTCAATAATAAAAAAGTGTCCGCACATTCCGGAAGAACAGTAGGATCCAACTGATAAAACAATTGAACAACAATAACATTTTAGAGGGTGTCATCAAAACGTTCCATAAGGTTCATTGAGACACAGGAAAACCTTCCCAAACAGAAAATTTCATTTTACAGTAAATTATTTGAACATATATAAGAAATTTAACAGGAGGCAAGAGTGTTAAGTGCACAGGTGTAAATCTCGCTAAATTGCCCTGAACAAACCACCCTATAGGGCCTATACACAAGCCAGAGCATAAACACAAACAGACATGCCGTGTGCGAACACCACCATTACTACAACATTGACTACAATGAATAACAGCAGCAGAAACAATAGCTATAATTAGTTCTCTATGAATGTGCTATGCATCAACACGCTCTTGAGATGGAACACTAGGGACAGTCCATAGACCCAACCATATAATTCAAGTGAGCTTTCCTTCTACACATCTTCCCTGCCATTGTTGCTGATCTTCAAGATGTTGTACTTGCAAAGGGGACAGGTAGCGTTGATATAAAGCCACTTGTCAATGCAAGTACAATGAAAATGGTGACCACAGGGAAGTTCCCGAAGCTCAGCTCCATCATCATAAGCAGAAAGGCATATGCAACACTCCTGCGATCCATCAAGGACGTCATTTCAGAGTTGTGTATATTATATCGTCTGAACTAGATAACTGATTTCAAATAAAACGAAAACGAAAAACAAAGAGTTGGACAACATACAGCATCCTCCTGAGAGAGAGAATGTTCCACGGGTGTATCTGTGCCACATTCAGTCATTACCCCTGCAAAAGGTCCTTCAATCTGACCGTTAAGCTTTTCAATATCACCAATCCTTCGAAATTTGTACTTTGATAGTTGTTCGATGTCTTCTTTAGAAGCTCCTTCCTGCTTTGATAAAATGTGGTTAACAATAATAAAAGATAATAAGGAAGATAGAAAGAAAGAAAGAAAAAAAATTCCAACTCTACCAAGGGTTGTAGCTTAGTGATACTTCCTCACCTTCCAAAGCAAAAGGTCAATAGTTCAAGTCCCCTTGGGGACAATGTGGGTGTGTGAGTTTCTTTCCATGGTTACAAAAAAAAAAATAAATAAATAAAATAAAAAATTCTTACAAAAAAAAAAGTTTTAAATTCTTAGCGTCATCTTCAATTAAAACAATATTAGAACACATAATCAGACACTTTATGTCAAGCAAAAAGGCAAGTAAGGGCTTAAAGGTTTTGAATCAATCCAACAGAAAACCTCCTAGTGAGTAGGGACTTTAAAGGTTTGAGGTAACGTAAAATAAAAATATATGCATATATAATTACATACATATATATATAATAGTGAAGAGGATCTGCGGTCTTAATATATATACGTATGTATCATGTGTGTATATGTATATAAAATAATCTTATTTTAAATGCATGAATTGGGAGCTCGGTTTTGGTATGGATACATAAATTTTGGTGTGTGGTGAGAGAGGGAGAGAGAAACAAAGAGCAGATGGGGGGGACAAACCTGATAAAAAAGTGTGTGTGCACGGGTGTGTCGGTGAGAGAAAGACACTACAATCCCCGTTAGTGAGGGACGTTAATGAGAGAAGTGAACTGTTGGTGGAGCCGGATTCAATGTTGACGAGAGGAGAAAGTAAGGGGCGGATGACTTGTGAAAAGAAATATTAGAATAGGATTGGATAACCAATCAATCAGAACCCATCTTGTCTTACCAATATTCTTTCCTTCCCTTATCCCCCTCCTTGTAAAGGATAAAAAAGAAAAACTCTTCTTATCCCCTCTCATTAGTGGTGTCTTCTCTCTCTCATTCAGTTGACATGTCTGGTCCTCTAAATCAACAAGTCAACACATCATCCACCTCCCTCTCTCTCCTTCTTTATATATATATATATATATATATATATATCAGGTCAGTCCCCTCATATCTAAGTGTCCCCATGCATTAGCAACTTAGCTGGTTTTGCTACAAACCCTAATCCCTAATTTGATGTAGACACATATATGCGTGCATACACATATAAATGAGTACATGTGTGTGTATATATTCATATATCCAAACCCTTACCATTTTTAGATGTACAAATGTTTGTTCATATATAAATATACTACACACGTATCTCTACATACACAAATACATGTGTGTGTGTGTGTGTTAAAACCCGTAACCCTCACTCTAACATAAGTATTTATGCATATATCTAAGTTATTTGTCTTTATATACTCTCAATTCATGTGTGTAGGGAAGAGAAAGTATGCATGAGGAAAGCACCGACAAAAAACATATAAACCATGTACACACACAGTAATAAAAAATGACTATCAGTAAGAGTAGACACTTTCCAAAAACTTCGTGAGAGACTACAAAAGAGAGAATTCCTCCTCAACCCAGAAAGAGTGAATTCAACATCAAAAGCTCCAGGTTATGAATAGAGATCTTTGCCCCTTCAAAGACTGCCTTTTGCTACCCCCCTAAATGCAACACGTCACACACAACCGACACAAGGAGTCACCTCCCAAGCCTTTTTCACATTCCTCCAAGCACAACCCCAGCCCTAGAAACCAATGACCTAGAATCAATAATAACCCCCAGCATAACCTAATCTACCCAGACAATTGGTAAGAGACTTAGCTACCTCAAAATGGAGAAAAAGGCTTCATTATTTGTCTCGCTTCCTCAAGTTCTCACATGTCAATAAACCTCCCCTAGTAGTTGTTGACAATAAGAATGACAGTTTCACAATGCTTGTGTTGACAATAAGTGACAGCTTAAATGCAGAGTAGACTCACAGATGAATTCTATGCCAGTTGAAAAAGGGGGGGAACCAGGTTACTGTAAAAGGAAAGAAAGATACTACAAACAAGGATCAAACTATTGCTACAGGTTGCGACTTCCAAGTAGAATGCAGTCGTAGTCAAAACGATGGTGTGGATTCTCAAACTGCTGGTATAATAATTATAAGTCCTAAAAAGGTTGGAGTGGCTCAATTGAAAGTGTCATCTCCTAACAGATTTCAAGTTCTTAATGATTGTTCTGAGACTGTGGGGTAGGATATAGAGATTTCTGATACCATTTTGACAGATCCTCTAGCAGTTCAATGGCCAAGCCAATGACAACTCCTATGGCAGTTCAGTTGATAAAGCCTATTGGGATTCAGGATTTAAGGTTTCTGCCACTATGACATGTCAGTTGGATGCTACTTCTGTAAATAAGTTGATGTTGGGGATCCTTTACAAGCCTTAACACACAAGATGGCTGATGAAGAAGTAAAGCCAAAAGTTGCATCTTTAGGCCTCCTTAGGCCCAAGAGAGGTACTTATCTTAGCGGGTTGAATCTTTATTTTCATTTCCTTTTATGTTAACTGGAATATGGAATATTAGGAGTTTCATAGCCCTAATAAACAACTAGAAGTTAGGACTCTGATTAAAAAATGACAGATTCCTTTACTATGTCTTGTTGAAACCAAAGTCAAAATGAATAAGGTTACTCAGGTCATCAATAGTGTTGCTCCTGGTTGGTCAATTTTGCATAACTACATTTATCATGAGTTGGGTAGAATTTGGGTTTGTTGGGATCCAATAAAGCTTATGGTTCAGGAGATTGGGAAAACAAAATCAAGTTGGTCGTTGTAACATTTCTGCTTTAGATGGATCATTTCAGCTGCGGGCAGTTTTGTCCATGGTAATAACAATTCTGTTTTAAGAAGAACCTTATGGACTGATTTGAAAAGAGTGGCGCATAAAAGGCGTGGGAAAGAGGATTCTAGAGCTTAAACCTTAATTTGGCACATGCTAGACGATGTGGGGTTCACTTGGAATCTTGCACAATTAGGGTGTTTGGTCAAATAGCATTATTTTGGTAATTGCATTAATTATGTTGAAATTGCATTGTTTTGGTAAATTGCATCAATTAGATTAAATTGCATCAATTAAGTTATTTGTTACTTTATTAAGCTAGAGTAAACTTTTGATTACCTCCATTGTAGGGTAATCCAAGGGTCATCCTCTATTATAAAAAGGATACTATGTAATTCTGATTACTCAGTCAATGAATGAATAAAAACATCCTTTGTGGTTTCTTTGTGAGTGATTCACAAATTCCGAGGGTGTGGGGCCTTTTCTAGGTGTGATAGCTAGGCCCTCTTGGAGTGATTCCAATAGGCTTTTCTTTGTTATTTTCAATCCTTCTTCTCCACTAACAACCCTTGAATCTTAGCCTTGTTTTCTAAATTTCCAGCCCACCACTCTCATTTGCTTTCTTCTATTTGAGCCTGTTCTTGTCCTACATCAGTTTTTGGTATCAGAGCCTAAATAGACATTATGTTTACTCGATCGGGCAATGAAACATTGGATGATAATCAGGAGATTGAGTTGTCACATATTGTAGAACAACTTAAAGGGCTGAATGCTCAATGCAATAAGATAGGAGCTCGAATTTCGCAGCCTTTTAACAAATCGGTAGCCCTTAAAGAAAAATATGAATTTGGTACTAATGATGGCAGAAACCGCGAGCAGCAACAGCTTTTAAACCCTCAGCAATGGTGTAGTTTGAAGGTTGATCCGCCACTACATCCCATGTTGGAGTTTCCAAGAAATACTTCAGAGGTGAATCATTATGAGCCACATGATGCTGCTGGAGATATTCCAAAGAAGTCAAGTGATGGAACGTGCAGCACACTCACAACAATGCTGCCAAATGGTGGATCAACTGCATCTTTCTATAACAGGGCTGATCTTGAAGGAAAGAGTACGATGGCTAGCAAGGACAATAAGAACCTGCTTGATGATAAAACGTACAACACTGATCATCAGGAAGAGTGTGAAGAAAATGTCTCCTCCATCGCCGTTGTGAAGCAAATCCTTGAAGACCCTAAAGTTGATGGCGAAGATGGGCGACTCACATCTAATTTCAGATGCAATTTCTTTGTGGAAACCAATCTCAGAAGCCTATTATTGATGGCAGTGGCAGCCCAAATCCTTGAAGACCCTTAAGTTGAAGACAAAGATGGGCGGCTTAACTCTAATTTTCAGATGCAAGTTCATTATGGAAACCAAGCTCAGAAGCCTATTATTGATGGCAGTGGCAGCCCAAATGTTGTCTCCATAGCCATGGTTAATCATCTCAAATTTTCCATCAAACCATATCCACAACCATTCAAAGCGGCTTAGATAGATAGTAATTCTATTCCGAATCTGCCAAAAGATGCGGCTATTGGAGTGGATACATGGTGTATATTAGTGGGCACTGCAAAGAAATGGGAGCATGCTTGTGCCAAGAAGCAACAGAAGCTGGTTCAAATATCCACCAACTTGGTAGATGAGGTCTGGAAAAACCAACTTCCAGAAGAAACTAATCCTGTAAGTGATAAGCTGGAGGGGTCTCGCGCATCAAAAGAGCATTTTAGAGAGTTGAGTTTTCCTACTATTCCCTCAGTTGGTCCTAATGCAGCAATTATGCATTATAAACTAGAGGAGAAAACATGTTTAGGACTTGATCCAAACAGCATTTGTGTATTCGATTCGGGAGCACAATACCTAGATGGAACCAACTGGTTGTTCTTTATGTTCTTGCTCGGATATATTCGTGGAAGGATAGCCTTGATTTTCGACATGGTAATGGCCATGGAGTTGGTATCAGAGGTGATGGGTCAGAAGCTGATGTTGTGGGGTTGCCCAGAACTAGTCGAGGACATGATGCTATAATCATTGTTTTGGATCGTTTTTCGAAAAAGGCGCATTTCCTTCTATGTTCTAAGACCTCCAATGCTGTCCACAATGCCAAACCTTTTTTTTTAAGAAGTTGTCCGACTTCATGGGTTGCACAACACTATTGTTTCTGATCAAGCTCTGAAGTTTATGCTCTCCAAGACTTAGAGCAGGCTCTCTTC